TGGGGACTAGAGGTGGCCTGGCTGGCAGGTGAGGGGCCTTGAATGGAGAGAGGGGCTGCCTGGGGGCCCAGGGGCCGGGGGGAAGGGGCAGAACCATAGGCCAGGGTGGAATGGGGAGGCTGAGGGGGCCCAGGGCTGGAGAAAGGCAGAGCCCCAGAGTGAGGGGGCAGGGGTTCCTGAGAGGGGCCTGGATAGAGCTGGGAGTGTAGAGGTGGTGGTGGCTGCCCCAGGACAGCAGGCTGAGGGGCGAAGGAGTAGGGGGGTGGGGGAGTCATGAGCCCTGGAGCCTGGGATGGGAAGAGGTGGGGATGCTGGAGTGGCAGGGGCTGCTGGGGGAGCTGCTGGGGGAGCTGCTGCGGGGGCTGGGGCCCAAATGCTGCCCGTGGGGGATGAAGCTGGGGCTGGGGCCCTATCCTCGGGGCTGGAAACCCCATGGGGATCCCAGGAGGAAAGTGATGCTGGGCTGGGGGTGCTGTGAGGGGCTGCTTAGGCCCCAGAGGATAGGTGTAGGGCATGGACAGTGGCTGGGGTGGGGGTACTGGGAAGCAGGGTTGGGGAGGAGCAGGGGTGGGGCTTGGCCGGGGTGCTGTGTGGCTGGAGATGGGTGCCTGGACACTATCTACCGTGGTGGTGGCTGGCCGGACCCCCATTGCCAACTCGGGGACCGAGAACTGGGGCGGGGGGGCGGAGGGCAGGCCTGCGGCTGGGGGGTGTGGGCCTATGGCCCCATAGGGCGTGCCCACCACGCCGTGCTGAGGGGAGGAGCGGGGCACGAGGCCCAGCTCTGGTGTGTAGACAGGCGCCGCGTAGATGGGGGGTCCAGGCGCCATGGCCATCGCAGGGGGCCCCGGAGCCTGGGGGCCCCTGGGCTGCATCACCTGGGTGGGTCCTGAGTAACTGCCTGGGGGCAAGGGGCCTGAGAGATAGTGGGGTCCCGGGCCCGCAGAGCCAGGGAAGGGGACCGGAGCCAAGCGGAGTGTGGCGGCAGCTCCCAGGAAGGCGTCGGGCAGGCTGCGCAGCTCCTCGGGCGGGTCTCCCATCTCCCCACCGGAGCCTGGGGGCCCCTGGGCTGCATCACCTGGGTGGGTCCTGAGTAACTGCCTGGGGGCAAGGGGCCTGAGAGATAGTGGGGTCCCGGGCCCGCAGAGCCAGGGAAGGGGACCGGAGCCAAGCGGAGTGTGGCGGCAGCTCCCAGGAAGGCGTCGGGCAGGCTGCGCAGCTCCTCGGGCGGGTCTCCCATCTCCCCAGCCGCACCCTCCTCCCTGCGGGGCAGCAGTGGCTTGGGGGCTGTGGGCCGTGGGGGTGGCTTCTTCTTCAGCTCCCTGCGGGACGAGGGAAGAAGGGGAACCAGCCCAATTAGCCACAGGGTCTGGGCTGCAGCGCCCTGCGGTCCTGGGGCCACACCTACCTGTCCAGGAGCTGCTGGCGGGCAGCCTCGCGGGCCTGGCAGGTGGACTGGGCCCGCTCCAGCAGAGTGGCCACCTTGCTCTCGAGGTCCGCATAGAAGTCCTTGCCCTCCTGGGACTTCTTCATCAGGTCCTCATAGGCTTCGTAGGAGGCCACCAGGGTCTGCAGCGTGGAGTTCCACCTGGAGGGCAGAGGGGCCCGCGGGAGGTGAGCGGCGGGAGCCAAGCTCAGGGAGGGGCTCTGGGCAGGAGCGCAAGGCCAGGCACTGACTTCTGGTCCAGCTCGCTGAGCGCCCGGCGCACGGCCGCATACTGCACGTTGGCCTCGGTCAGCGCGCGGAGGACGTTGTCCTGGGCAGCCAGGTTCTGCTCCAGGTACACCCTCAGCTGGTCGTACTTCTTCAGCTGCTCCTCGAACAGCTTCTAAGGGAGTTGGGGGTGAGGACAGACACTCAAGGCTTTGCCACCTCAGGGTGGAGCCCACAGCCAGGGCCCCGCCACCTGCTCCCGCACCTTCATCTCGGAGCGGTCCGTGGTGACCAGCGAGGCGGTGATGTCGTCCTTCTGGATGAGCTCCCGCAGCTGCTGCTCCAGAGACACGCGCTGGTCCCGCATCTCCTGCACCTTGGCCAGGATGCGCTTCAGGTTCTGCAGCACGGCCTGGTCCTCTGGGGGCAGCAGGGGTCAGTGAGGCCAGAGACGCCCCAGTCATCTCAGCCAGGGCCCAGGAGGGGGGTGCTCACCTGGGGTGAGGGCTGGTGTGGGCAGGGCAGCCCGGACCTGGTCCAGAGGCCCACTGAGCAGGCGGAGGTTGCCAACGTGCAAGTTCATGGCGCGGTGCAGCTCACTGTTGGTGAAGGAGGCCTTTTCGTGGACCTCCATATACTTGGCCCATTCTCGCCTCACCTCTGCCAGCTCCGCCTTGGAACCGGCCACACTGGCCCCTGCCTGGCCCACTGCCTCCTGCAACTTCTGGTCTAGCAGCTCATCCTCCTCCAGCAGGTCCCTGATGTCCTTCAGCGAGGCCTCCACGTCCGTGAACACACCTGACAGCACTGAGGGTGTGTATGGGGAGGGGGACAGCCTGAGGCAGGCAGACCAGGCACCCACCCTGGCCTGTGCCCCAGGAGACAGCACTACCCTCAGTCAAGGCTTGTGGGCAGCCCAATGCTTGCCGAGCAAGCACACCCAGGGTGTGGCGTGGGGGACGGTATTTGTGCCAGGTGCTGGGAGAGGTGCACCTCCATCCTGGGGGAACAGGGGACAGAAAAGGCCACAGGAGATGACATCCCCACCCTCACCTGCCTACCCCCTCCCACCTTGCATGGACTGGACGAGGTTCCGGACAGTGTCGGGCCGGACGCTGAGAGCTGCACACTTCTCCATGAGCTGGGGCGGGATGTGGCTGTACGTGTCCAGGTTGTCCACTGTCTCGGGATCCAGCTGCATTGAATCCATGAACTGGCTGTGGGGACACCAGGACCAGGCAGGTGATGGGTGCTGACCCGTCCTCACATGTACAGAGAGTGCACTAGGGTGAGTCTCCCCCGCAGCTGCAGACAAGTCTGAGGCCCCAGCAGAGAGCAGACCAGCACCCTGACCTCCACCCTGAGGCTGGCCTGGCCCCAGGGCATGCCCACCGCACTGCGGACAACACGGGCAGAATGGACACCCCTCCCACGACTCAGGCTCTCACTAACAAGACCTGGGTGGGGAGGGCAGAGCGGGGAACACCCGCTACTACCTTCCCTCTTGCGGGCAGCACCAGGGACCCACCGAGGTCTGGTGTGTAACCCCATACCCTAGCCCCAGCCCCACACTTACTCCAGCACCTCATTCTTGTCCTCAATCTTGGCCATTATCTCTCGAAGCAGCTTGGCCTTCTCCTCACTGCAGAAGCGACAGAGCAGTTGCTGGAAGCCTCTGTCTCTCGAGAAACCCCACTCCCACCCATGCCGAGGGCAGGGCCCGCCCTCCCACCCACCTGTACAGGGACGAGGCTTCATGGGCAGCCATGGGGACCAGCTTGGCGAAGATGTCAGGGCCTGTGACAGCTGGGTCTGTGGGGTTCACTGGCAAGGGCTTCACCAAGGGGGCACCTGGGAGAGAGAAGTTGTGGAGCCCAGGCCCTTGCAGCCCTCACTTCTGCTCTATGCCCCTGTCCCTCCTCCCTGACCCCCAGCCTCCCCCCAGCGGCAGACCTTTCACAGGCTGAAGGGTGTCCAGGGCCGGGACAGCTTCGTGGTAGATGAAGTCATTGTCCTTCTTGGCAGAATTGTACCCTTCACCAAGGGGGCACCTGGGAGAGAGAAGTTGTGGAGCCCAGGCCCTTGCAGCCCTCACTTCTGCTCTATGCCCCTGTCCCTCCTCCCTGACCCCCAGCCTCCCCCCAGCGGCAGACCTTTCACAGGCTGAAGGGTGTCCAGGGCCGGGACAGCTTCGTGGTAGATGAAGTCATTGTCCTTCTTGGCAGAATTGTACCTGGGGGTCCAGGGAAGGGGGGGGGGGTCTTGGATGAGCAGCAGGGGCCCAGGAGCTGGCCTCTATGGGGCCACTGCTCTCTGGCGCTGGTGGCTCCCTCTCAAGGGTGCAGGCAGAGGGCCAAGACCCTTCCTCATGAGAAGGACCAGGGCCACCCCCGGCCCCACAGACTCACTTTCCTCCAATGACGTCCATAGCAAAGCGAAGTGCATCTTGCACAGTGTCAGGCTGGCCCTGCAGGGTAGGGAAGGGGTCAGCATCAACAAGGCCAGTGCCAGCACCCCCGCCCGCAGGCTGCTCCGTCCTCAGGCTCTCGGGCAGCAGGCCCTTTCTTGTCTTTACCTTGGCCAACTTGATGGCTTCACTGAGCTTGTCCAGGGCGCTCTGGAAGTACGCGACCTGTGGGGACAGTGGGGAGAGCCTGGTCCTTCCCTGCTTGGAGTCTCCTCCTTCTGCCCCCCAATGAGCCCTGCCTGGCCGTCACATGACCCACTAGAAGGCCAGATAGCTGGGTGCCAGCCAGCCCCTCTGCAGGGAGTCTGCTATGCCTCCTCAGCTCCCAGGGATGAGGGCTGCACAGACAGGACACCCCAGGCTGCAGCAGGGGCTTGTTCAGGGATGAGGAGATGGGAGGCCGAGAGAAGACCACCTCCCCCATTCTGTAGGGAAGGGATCCACCGGCATCTCACTAACAAGGCTGGACCCGGTCCTGAGTGCTGTCCTCACAACTCACTCACCTGCTCCCCGAACTTCTGCTGCTCCTCAGCCTGCTTCCCCATGTGCAGCTGGGAGGAAAGAGACATGGCTACTTAGTTCCCAGGCTGTGGCAGCTCAGCCCCGCCCAGAGCCAGAGGCACGGTGCCTCACATGAGCCACAGCCGCAAAGTAGTAGATCTTCATCTGCACCAGCTTCTTCCAGTCCTTCTGGATCCGGCCCAGCAGTGAGGCGGTGTCAGGGTTCTCCAAGGCCCGGCAGGCCTCCTTGTAGTAATCCACCACCTGGGGGCCCGATGGGGTCAGTGGGCGGCGGCAGGACACCGAAGGCCAGCCCTGAGCACATCTCCCCCACCCTACCTGGGCGCTGATGCGGGCCACCAGGAAGCTCTTCCTGTTGTCCAACAGCGACTTCTCCAGAAGGCACTCCTGAGCCTGGCCCTGGGCAACCAGTCAGGTCCACTCCCTGGTCCACCCGAGGCCTTGCCCTTCTAGCAGGCAGACCCCAGGGACACCTCTCCACACCCTCTCCTCCAGTCCCCAGCCCTGCTCCTGACCCACCTGGCGCTGTCAGACCAGAGCCCAGGCCCTGCACTGCCCTCTGCTGGGCCTGTCTAGGGTCCAGCTCTAAGTCCCCTCCCTGGATTCAACTCAGTTCCCACCAGGGCACCTCCTTACCAGCATGAGGTTGACATTGAGAGTGAGGATCTGGCGGCTCATGTCGACGCTGTAGGCCTGAGGGAAGTGCTCCCGCAGGTAGGCAAAGGCGCCTGCTGCACACTGGAAGTGCGTACAGGAGACCTTCATGCCCTGGGAGGGAGAGAAGGAGGGTGGCCAAGGGCAGCACCAGACCTGGGGCAGGATTCAGCCCAACTCGGGATCTGAGAGCGCGCAGCAGCCCTCCCTGGTCACATCCCATGTCCCGTCCACTGCCCTGCCCTGCTCACCTCTTCAGACACCCGCTTGTCCATGGCTCCCAGCATGGAGTGCAGTGCACCTGGGGAGGCAGAGGGCACAGGGTCAGTCTGGGGGTGCTCCCCACACCTGTGTTAACAGTAAGGCAAAGGGCGCAGTGTTGTCACCCGTGATCAGGAAAACGGGTCTGAACTGGGGCAGTTGGTCCATGGACATCAAAGCTGAGCAAATGGGGAAACTCATCGACGTCTGGCCAAGACCCCCAGGCTCCTGCTCGGCACCAAGCAGGGGTGCAGGTGGACGGAGGAGAGTTCCTGTGCAGACTCTAGCCTAGAAGTCCGGTCTGGAAGCTTCTCCCTGGAGCCCAGCTGGGGCTGAGTCATCAGGGTGATAGCAGAGCCGGCTGAGCCCAACCTTGTTTTCCTTCTGCCTGGAGCAGCCCAAACTCAAAAGGGGGGTTGGGAGCTGTCCAGTCAGAGCCATGGCGGCCATCGTCCCAGCGGAGCCCACAGCGGCCACACCGTGGCAGCAGCCCCATAGAGCCTCTCCCCAACAGGTGGCTCCCCGAGGCCCAGAAAGGAGGCGCTGGCAGAGATGTGGGAGGCAGGGGAGGGGTCCGAATACAGGGGTCTTCCCTGCACCAGCCCACGGCCCCATCGTCTGCTGCGGGGCGGCAGGCAGCTCACCCAGGTTGTAGAGGATGCAGGCCTGCTCGTACTGGATGTCCTCGTGCGCCACAGACTTGCCCGAGAAGATCTCGGTCCTGCACACATGGCACCTGGTCATCCTGAGGGCAGGTGAGGGCCCAGCCACCCCCGTGCAGGGTTGGAGGGAGGCCCTGGGAGACACCATATCCAGCTGCTCCCCACCCTCTGCAACAGGAAAAGGGAGGAAGGGGCATCCCCAGCACCCAGACGCCCCAGTCAGCTCTCACCAGGTGACAGGAACAGCAGCCTCCTGGCCTGAACCCATGGGGACCCGGCTCTGCAGGTAGTGGAGTTGGCCGAGGTACTTGCGGAGGACGCTGCAGCCCTCAAAGTCCCGCGGGACCCGGATGGCGTTCTGGGGGAGGATGGGAGAAGCAGGCCTGCCATCACTCGGGGCTGAGGAAATGCCTCAGAGCTGGACACTGCCCACCCAGGGGCCAGGAAAGCCCACTGCTGCGTCCATGTCGTCCAACACACCGTCCCTCGGCCAGAGCGGTGGGCAGAGTCAGCCCACCGTCGGGAAGGCAGTTGACAACATGCATCCAAATTCTGAATATACTCAAACTGTGACCCACAGTTCTGTATCCAAAAACATAGAGAGAAATCCGGAGAGCGGCTGCCTCAGTGAGCACGAGGGAGAGCTGGCACAGCGCTGTTAACAGGTCAAACAGTGAGCACCACCAACATGCCCGTTAAAGAGGCTGTTTAACAAAACCGAACAGACGCACAGACACAGAGCAAGGCTGATGGCCGCCGGGGGGGATAAAGTACAGCGCAAGGAATATAGTCAATAATATTGTAATAACTATGGATAGTGTCAGACGGGTATTAGAACGCTTTATATGATTATCAAACCATTATGCTGTATACCTGAAACTAATATAAAATATTGAATGTAAACTGTAACAGAAAAATATAAAGCAGCTGTTTGGGTAGATGGGGTGGGGGGAGAGAATTATTTAAGTAAGTTATGTCAAGGCTACCCACACAAGAGAATCTCCTCACACAGAAAAACTGAAGATATGTTAAGATTTCCAGATCAGACGTATCATTGGGGCGAAAGTATGTAATAGATGAGGGGTATGATTTCATTTATGTAACAGCATGTAGACACTGATATCCAACTACATTATATAGACGACAATAAAAATCTATACGGTTATATATGAAAATGTTAAGTGACTATCCCTGAGCAATAGGGTTTATTTTATCTTATTCTATACATACAGATATACATAAAGATATATTTAATTCTTTATGTATTTATAGCGAACATTTTCAATGTTTATAATAAGCAATAAAGAGATTGCTATTTTCAGAAGAAAAAAAACACACAAACAAACAAAGCAAATGACCCCTCTGCTCAAACAGCAGAGCAGACGTAAACCCTCTGAGACGCAGGTGCACACAGGGGGTGGGACCCGCCCGTGTGCCAGGACCGGACCCCCCCAGGTCCCAGAACTGAGGGCCCAGTGGGAAGCAGCCCACTGGCTAGAACTCCTCCAGGACTCCACATAGGACTGAAGTCTGTCATAACCATCAAACACGAGAAAGAAAGAAAAGGCATCCAAATCGAAAAAGAAAAAGGTAAAACTGACATTTGCAGATGACATGATACTACAGAGAACCCTAAAGATTCCACACAAAAAAGCTATTAGAATAAATGAACTCAGTAAAGTATAGGGTACAAAACAGATTCAGAAATCAGTTGCATTTTATACACCAACAACAAACTATGAGAAAGAAAAATTAAGACAACAATCCCATGTACAACTGCATCAAAAAGAATAAAATACCTAGGAATAAACTTAAAGACCTGTATTCAGAAAACTGTAAGACACTAAAGAGAAAAACTAAAGAAGACACAAATGGAAGACTATAAATTATTATAAAAGGAAGAATTAACATAGTTAAAATGACCATACTACCCAAAGCAATCTATAGTTCAGTGCAATCCCTATCAAAATACTAATGACATTTTTCACAGAACTAGAATAATCTCAAAATTTATATGGAACCACAAAAGACCCTCAATATAACCAGAGTAACCTTGAGAAAGAACAAAGTTGGAGACAGCACGCTACCTGACCTCAAACTACACTGCTACAAGGTTAGTTATCAAAACAGGTTGGTACTGACATAAAAACAGACGCCTCGCTCTGGCTGGTGTGGCTCAGTGGATAGAGCGTCGGCTGTGGGCTGAAGGGTCCCAGGTTCGATTCCGGTCAAGGGCACATGCCCGGGGTTGCGGGCACAGCCCAGTGGGGAGTGTGCAGGAGGCAGCTGAATTGATGTTTCTCTCTCATCAATGTTTCTAACTCTCTATCCCTCTCCCTTCCTCTCTGTAAAAAAATCAATAAAATATATTTTTTTAAAAAAAAGAGAGAGACAAGAATACACGATGGGGTAAGACAATAAGTGGTGTTGGGAAAACTCAACAGATACATGCAAAAAATGAAACTAGACCACTTTCCAAAACCATATGCAAAAATAAACTCAAGTGAATTAAAGATTTAAATGTAAGACCTGAAGCTATAAAACTCCTAGAAGAAAACATAGGCAATAAACTGTTTGATATCACTCTCCACAATTTTTTGGATACGTCTCCTCAGGCAAAGGAAACAAAAGAAAAACAAATGGGACTATGTCAAACTAAAGAGCTTTTAGGGTGAAGGAACCATCAACAAAATGAAAAGACATATTCGCCAATGATACATCAGATAAAGGGTGAATATCAAAATGCAGTATAAAGAACTCATACAACTTAACACCAGGAAAAAAACACAATCTGATTAAAAAATAGAAGATCTGAACAGACATTTCTCCAAAGAAGACATACAGATGTCCTAGAGACATATGAAAAGATGCTCAACATCACTAATCATCAGGGAAATGCAAATTAAAACCACAATGAGCTATCACCTCACACATGTCACAATGGCTATCAGCAATAAATCAGCAAAACAACAAGTGTTGAAAAAACAAAAAACAAGTGTTGGCGAGGAAAAGGGAACCCTCGTGCACTGCTGGTGGGATTGTAAATTGGTGCAGTCACTATGGAAAACCGTTTGGAGGTTCCTCAAAAACTTAAAAATAGACCTACCATTACCATATAACCAAGCAATTTCACTTCTGGGTACTTATTCAAAAAAATGCAAAACACTAATTCAAAAATATATAGGCAACTCTATTTCTTTGAAAGGTGGGCATTAAAAACCCAATAAAAACAATGAACTGAGAAAAATATTTGTAGCACATAACACCAAGAAGCAATATCATTAATACATGAATGAGTCTTAAAAATTAGTAAGAAATAAAGTATAACACTCTCATAAAAAATGGACAAAGAGCAACAGCAGTCAAGTCCTTAAAGAGGATATATAACAAATACATTAACAACTGTGAAACCTTACTATTAACCAAATAAATTCAAAGTAAATACCCTTTCACCTATCAGACCGCCAGCACTGAAAAGGAACAACAGGAACAGGCACACAGCTGCTAGGGAGACAAGTACATCCTTTTCTCCCACCAATTCCTACAGGAACGACCCTATAGAGACGGGGAGCATCAAATGGCAAAAACCGAAAATTACCTCGTGCTCTCCAAGAGGGGCTGATGAAACTATACTTCAATGTAATGATCACAGGCCAGCCCTAACCGGTTTGGCTCAGTGGATAGAGCGTCGGCCTGCGGACTGAAGGGTCCCGGGTTCGATTCTGGTCAAGGGCATGTACCTTGGTTGCAGGCACATCCCCAGTAGGGAGTGTGCAGGAGGCAGCTGATCAATGTTTCTCTCTCATCGATGTTTCTAATTCTCTATCCCTCTCCCTTCCTCTCTGTAAAAAACAAATAAAATATATTTTTTTAAAAATGATCACAGGCCATTGAAATACTCCTGTTGTATGTTCACCGATACAGAAACATATCCACAATATGTTGTGAAGTGAAAAAAGCAGGCGTATAGGTGGTGTATGATTCTCCCGGGGTTTTATATAGTACTAGTGGCCTGGTGCACGAATTCGTGCACATTGAAATGAATTAGAACAGTGGTTCTCAACCTGTGGGTCTCGAGCCCTTTGGGAGTTGAACGACCCTTTCACAGGGGTCACCTAAGACCATCGGAAAACACATATATAATTACATATGGTTTTTGTGATTAATCACTATGCTTTCATTATGTTCAATTTGTAACAATGAAAATACATCCTGCATATCAAATATTTACATTATGATTCATAACAGTAGCAAAATTATAGTTATGAAGTAGCAACAAAAATAATTTTATGGTTGGGGGTCACCACAACATGAGGAACTGTATTAAAGGGTCGCGGCATTAGGAGGGTTGAGAACCACTGAATTAGAAGAATCTTTGGTTGAGTATGTGTGGAGAGTGGAGGCGATGGGGGAAAGGATGGGATTAGTGGGGGAGAAATATGACGAATTGGGGTCTCTTTGTTGCAAGGTTAAATTCACTGGTTCTCAGCTCTGGCTGCTCTTAGAATCACCTGGGGGAGCTATCAGAAAACATCACTACCTAGACCAGCGGTTCTCAACCTGTGGGTCGCGACCCCTTTGGCGGTTGAACGACCCTTTCACAGGGGTCGCCTAAGACCATCCTGCATATCAGATATTGACACTACGATTTATAACAGTAGCAACATTACAGTTATGAAGTAGCAACGAAAATAATTTTATGGTTGGGTCATAACATGAGGAACTGTATTTAAAGGGCCAGAAGGTTGAGAACCACTGGCCCAAGACCCTCTGCTCACAGAGTCCCATTGATGTGAGATGGGGCTGGGCATAAGTGTTTGTTTTTTTTTAAAGCATTTCAGTTGGTTTTAATATAATCAGGGATCTATAGGTGTTCATTCAACAGTTTCCTTACACATTTCCTATGCGTAAGGCACTGTATGAGTCCAATCAGATCAATTGCATTATAAAGTTATACACCAGGAATTACTCCAAATCCCAAAACTGAAGTATTCCCTGATTAGCCTGATGTAAGAAAGCCTGTATCAACTGTGAGAAGAAAGTGTCCCAATAATTACTAGAAAAGCTGCCACCTGTTTCTATCTTGCCTACAGCTTAAACTTTTTAGGGCTGAAGAAACTCCAAGGAGGCTAGTCGTTAGGGAGAGGAAGCTGGGTGTTGCTACGTGACATCATTACCCAGAGCCCATAGCGTCGTTTCCAGGCTGGGCTGGGCTGTGGGCCACATTTTGCACCATGGGGTCTTGGCAACATCGGCTGCGGTTTGGTGGGGTGTCGCTCCGGGGTGGTGGTGGGCCTGTGTCCCACTTGAGGGAAGCCGAGTGTTGCTTTGTGGGCACCAGGTCCATGTTGCCATTTCTCTGTAAATGGCCAGTGTGTGTCATGGCAGCTACTGCATTGAGCATCCGCCCCCTGGTGTTAGGTGTGCATTATATCGACCAGACAGACACTTAGCATATTAGCCTCTTATATATAGATAGATAGATAGATAGATAGATAGATAGACAGATAGATAGATAGATAGTATATAGAAATAAAAAATTTTAAAAAATATATAAAAATTACGAAATGACTTTTAGGATGGGTTTTCTTTTTGCTTTTTAGTATTTTCAAATTTTCCTATCATTAGTTTTGCTTTTATGCGGAAAAGTGCTACATTTAAATAAGAACACACAACAGCAAAACTGAAAATAAAACGAGAACACAGCTGCAGGTGGTGTCTTCACGTCCCTCAAACCAGTCCTGGCCACACCTCACACGCACGGCCTCCTACCTGTCGGAGCAGCTCCAGCTTCTTCAGCTCCTCACTGTAGGCGTCGGGGTTCTCTCCGTAATTCTTCAGGACAAACTGCAGAGAGAGGAGGGGAATGTAATCCAGGGAGAGAGACTCCTGGCTCCCGCTCCTCCCTGCCCCCCCAAATCTCACAATCACTAGTCAGGGCTCAGGAGCCATCCACACCACCACCACCAGCTCCACTCCTGGGCCACCAGGAGCTCAATCACGGGGCAGCACCACGAGGCTGGCCAGAGCCTCCTCCCCTGAGCAGAATGGAGCCTAAGCCTGGACGGCCCAGCGTGAATCCCAGGCTGGTCTCCACCGCGCGGCAGCCTCTCTACGATGCCCAGGACTCTGCCAGCTCAGGAGGCCGGGGAACTCAGGGGCGGAATGGGATCCTAAGAGCATCCCCAAACAGGCCACACAGTCAAGCCTCCTTTAGGGTCGGACCTGTTGTGCTCTGGGTCACACCATACCCTAGCCCAGTGGTCGGCAAACCGCGGCTCGTGAGCCACATGCGGCTCTTTGGCTCCTTGAGTGTGGCTCTTCCACAAAATACCACGTGTGGGCGCACACGTACAGTGAGATTGAAACTTCGTGGCCCATGCGCAGAAGTCGGTATTTTGTGGAAGAGCCACACTCAAGGGGCCACAGAGCCGCATGTGGCTCGTGAGCCGCGGTTTGCCGACCACTGTCCTAACCCAACAGTCAGTGTCGACAAAGGTGCCAAGCAAGAGGGAGTGCAAAGCCTCTTCAGCAGCCCACCCTCCTGGCTGAGAAGGCACCACAGAGACAAGTGGTCTGCAGTGTCCCGGGCGGGGAGGGAAGGCCCATGGCTGGGTGACAGGGATGAGCAGACGAGGGGCAAAGGGAAGGTCACTGCTCACACCGCTGCCTGCCCAGCCACCACCTCCAGAACTGACCGCCTGGACAGTGACCACACTCACCGCTTGGAGGCACGGCCAGAACCAATGGGGGTGGGGACCGCCTGTCACCGCATTCGGGGCGAGTTAATTAAATGTTGGACCAAATAGAGCAGGCTAGGTTTTTTAAGATGTTTTCTTTTTAAAAAATATTTTTTTTATTGATTTCAGAGAGGAAGGAAGAGGGAGAGATAGAAATATCAATGATGAGAATCATGGATCGCTGTCTCCTGCACCCCCCACACTGGGGATCAAGCCTGCAACCAGGCATGTGCCCTGACCAGGAATCGAACTGCAACCTTCTGATTCAGAGGTGGACGCTCAACCACTGAGCCATGCCAACAGGGCTTTCCATTGATCTTTTAGAGTGGAAGGGAGGGGGAGGGGGAGAGAGACAGAGAAACATCAATGTGAGAGAGACACATTGACTGTCTCCTGTATGCACCCCAACAGGGACCAGGGATCGAACTTGCAACCCAGATACATGCCCTTGTTCGGGAATCGAACCCGAGACCCTCCCGCAAACAGGCCGAAGCTCTAAGCATCAAGTCACGCTGCTCAGGGTGAGGGAACTTTCTGGGCCTGGTCTTTCCATGCAGTGCACATATTTCTCCTCTTCCACTGGTGTCACCGTCTAACTTGTAAATGTCCTCTTCTAGATTACGAATGCCAGGGAAAAAGTGTCACCTCTTACCCATCTGTATCATCAGGGCTCGGCACAGTGCTCCACAGGCTGACCTGAATACAACCCATTTTTACCCTATTGTCTTAAACTGGACTCTACCCCTCAGCTCCAAGTGCGTATTCCTGCAGCTCAGAGCAAGGGAAGAACAGGCAGAGTGGGGGCTCCAGGGCTGGGGAGAGGAGTCCAGGTCAGGGAGAGCTCCCAGGCTGCAGGGGCGTCGCCTCGTCAGGACAGTCCCAGGGTGCCCTGAAGGAGGTGGCCATGCTCAAGCGCAGCCCACCCACCGATGGCTCAGGGGGTTCATGCAAACACATGTCAGAACCTTGTCAAATAAATGGTGGCACCTTTCCCACGTCCAAAGAAAAGGAAACAAAGAAAAAGAGCAGCTCTGCCGGTGTGGCTCAGTGGACAGAGCGTCGGCCTGCAGACCGAAGCGTTCCAGGGTGGATTACGGTCGGGGACACATGCCCGGGTTGCGGGCTCGATCCCCAGTGGGGTGCGTGCAGGAGGCAGCCGATCCATGACTCTCTCTCATCATTGATGCCCCTGTCTCTCTCTCTCCCTTCCTCTCCGAAATCAATAAAAACATTTAAAAAATAAAAGAGCAGATGGACAGGAACTGTCTCTTGAGCGGCTGACACCTCAGGCTAAATGGCTCCTGAGAACTCCTCTCGGAGGCCCAGCTTCTCCCATGGTGGGCACCGTGTCGCCAACGTGAGCCCCCAGAGAGCACCAGAGGTAAATTCCGACCAGGCAGCTCCTAGGCCAGGGGTGGGCAACCTTTTTGTGAGTGCGTGCCAAAACCAGCAAAATCTCTGACTCAAATTCTTCTGCGTGCCAACCCTAGTTTTTTGAGAACATGTTATGCCTACTTGATATCTCTTAAGGTGTATGTATGCGAAGAACCTTGAAGAAATAATAAAATTCATTCGAGCGACAAAAACACAGTATGTGATGATGAAAAATACATTTAATGTATACATGTACACTGAGAGTCCGACAGAAAACTTTATGACTCCGTTTGATATTATCAGTGAGACTTTTGCTGCTGCATCACTGATGACAGAGATTTAACATCAGGTTTATATTTCGTGACCTTCAGAGATATGCACGAGCTACTACTTTCATCCACCAGGCTACTCCTATTATGAGACTTAACGAAATTCATCACTGAGAACAAAGATTCACAAGTGTATGTGGATGAAAACATGGAGAGTAACGCTGTTGCAGTTTCTTAAACAGAAAAAATTTTCTGGAATGGCATTCCAATTCCTCAATGGTTCGTTTTCGACACTGGTACTCCTGTCTCTAATCGCTTTTTTTCAATGTTTTCCAAGTCAACTCTAAGGTCAATAAATTTCTGCTTCCAAATTGAGCTACTCTGAAATTCA